ATTGGGTATTCGGATATTCGGGTATTCGGGTATTAGGGTATTAGGGTAGTAGGGTATTAGGGTATTAGGGTATTAGGGTATTAGAGTATTCGGGTATTCGGGTATTAGGGTATTAGGGTATTACTACTATTTGCTTAAGAACCACAAAAGAATAAGAGATGATAACCCCTATATTGCCCTTAGTAAGGAAGAATGTTTTTCCCCACGTTCGGTGTGGGGTTGTTAGATTTTAAACTCAACTCTTCTCCTCGCCCGGAACTCTTCCCCTCGCCCGGTCTACTCCTAGAGACCCCCTAGAGTGCCCAACCCCAGAGACTCCCTGGAGTGCCCAATCCAAATCCCTAAGGTGGGGATGTTCGAAGTAAAATATCTTCTGTTTTTTCGGGGCTCTTAAGCAATTAGTAGTCATGGTGTATTGCTTCACCGGCCCGGGCAGATCAAAGGGCAACCATCAAAGGAGATCAATCCTAGACCCTCTACACACTCCCAAAAAACTCCCGTTATTATGCGTCTGACACTCCGCCCATGCTGGGCTTATGACCCTGATCACATGCCGTGACCGCGCATCTGGTGCATCGCGCAAGTCCCGTTCAAGAGCGTGAGACACGGGGAAAGTACGCCCTCGTCACGTGTTCGCGACACGCAAGGCAACGCACCTCGAAGAAGTGCTCGGGGCCCAGGAGCGCAACTTGAACCACGGAATGTGCGCAAGACCCTACCAACGATTTGTCACGCTGCGCGACGCCAAAATCGTGGGGACTGTACTATGAAAATAGTGACGCTCCCGCGCCCCCCCAATATCCCTCAATCCACAAACTGGTAAAGAAAGAGAGAGAGAGAGAGAGAGACAGACAGACAGACAGAGAGAGAGAGAGGGAGAGAGAGACAGCGAGAGACTAGGTGACTAGGTAAGACCTTGGGATCTTTTTCTATTTCCCTTATTGCCTTATTGCGTTTCTATCAGGATCCTAGGAATCACTTTTTTTATCAGAGTGTTTAGTGGCCAGCCGCCGAGAGAGGGCGTTTGGGGAAGCCAGGGGCCGGCTCGCCACACCTGTTTCATAGCAGCGAGGTGCTCCGCAGACTTGTGAACATGTAGGGTTTAACATTTAGGGTTTTTTGGGGAAGCAATGGAGCCTATGCCCTATACCCGAAACCCGAAAACCTCAGCCCTGCCAGCACCTCACCCAACTACCCTTGAACCCTAATGGTAGGTTGTACAAGCCCCCTGTGTTACATGGTAGTTGGGGGGTGCAGAGAAACCTTGAGCCCAAGAGAGCCGGGTTTAGGGTTTGGGGTTTAGGGTTTGGGGTTTAGGGTTTAGGGTTTAGGGTTTAGGGTTTATATAGGGAGCCCCAACCGCTCACCTGGGAGAGCATCTTCTTGTCCTTCGAGGTCATGCTCCGAAATCTGCCGAACAACTACACGAGGCTCCCTCGTCGGATGACCAGAGGGTTTCGGGTTTGGGGTTCCGGGTCCAGGGTTCAGAGTTTAGGGTTAGGGTTCAGGGTTTAGGGTAGAGGGGGCTTTCCGAAGATTCGAGTTTTTTTTTTTTGTTTTTCCTTCTTTGGGCCTTTCAAAAGGGTTTCGGCCATATTTGGTTGGAGCTGCTCAGAGGGGATGCCTCGACTGCTCTTGGAAGTCATGTTAACCTTTGTTGGTTCTGAATGTACAGAGGGATAAGTTTGACTACAGTTACAGTATATTATATTATATATGTTGTCTTTCATTTTATTGTGTTATATTATATGATATATGATATATATATATATATATGCACAGACATGACACACATGTGCTAAACCCTAAACCGTAAACCCTAAGCCCTAAACCCCAAACCCCAAACCCTAAACCCTAAACCCTAAACCCTAAACCCTAAACCCTAAACCCTAAACCCTAAACCCTAAACCCCAAACCCCAAACCCCAAACCCCAAACCCGAAACCCTAAACCCTAAACCCTAAACCCGAAACCCTAAACCCTAAACCCTGAACCCTGAACCCTAAACCCTAAACGCTACGCCCAAACCCTAAACCCCAGGGAGATGTTCTTGGCCATGTTGGACGACCGCGGCTTCCGCGGGCGCTATGACTTCGCGCTGCTTTGCACGAAACCCTCGGGGTCCTTAGGTTGGGAAGGAGGGAGGTAGGGCCTGGTTTAGGGTTTAGGGTTTAGGGTTTAGGGGGTTTAGGGTTTAGGGTTTAGGGTTTAGGGTGTAGGTTTTGGGTTGCAGCAGGGGTTTCGTGGTTCAGGGGCCTAAACCTTTAAACCCTAACCCCTAAACCCTATTTTGCAGGTTTTGGCTTGCTTTTTGTTGTTGTTGTTGTTGTTGTTGTTGTTGTTTTTTTTTTTTTTTGGGGGTGCGAGGGGGGGGGGGGTTTGGGCCGGGTGTAATTACAAAGAAGCCCCGGGATTCCGTAGACCCTAAACCCTACACCCTAAGCTCGCAACCGCTTTTGGGCTTATTTTGTTTCGGGCGTAACGTTACGAGCAGCGCACCTTTGTTGCGGTAAGCCTTACGCCTTTAAATTTCTAAGTTATGCCCTCAGCCCTTAAACCTGAACCCCCAACCCTAAACCCCATACACCCACCAGCCCTAAACCAAAAACTCACCGTAAACCCAGCAACGGTTTAGGGTTGAGGTTTAGGGTTTACGATCGGGAGTTGCTGCAATTTGCTTAAGAACCCCCCTCACCCCCCCCCCCCCCCCCTAAAAAAAAAAAATGAAAGACAATAATCCCTACAATACGCTTATACGACCCTAAACCCTAAACCCTAAACCCTAAACCCTAAACCCTAAGCCCTAAACCCTAAACCCTAAACCCTACACCCTTTAGGGTTCAGGGTTTGGGGCCGGGGCTTCCACTCTGGAAATTTCTTTCCCAAACAATCACTGCAACCCTCCCAACTCAACTTCTCTTCGAATTCGAGCTTCTGCGTCCTGCACTTTAGAATGTGTGGATATACAGATGTTCTTCCCCAGAGTCACAGTAGCCACAGGAGGTTCCCAGGTTTCCTAAAAACCGAAAACATAAACCCCAAACCCCAAACCCCAAAACCCTAAAACCGCAAAACGCTAAAGCCCTAAAACCCTAGAACCCTAAACCCTAAAACCCCAATCCCTAAAATCCTCAAACCCTCAAACCCTCAAACCCTCAAACCCTCAAACCCTCAAACCCTCAAACCCTCAAACCCTCAAACCCTCAAACCCTCAAACCCTCAAACCCTCAAACCCTCAAACCCTCAAACCTCAAACCCTCAAACCCTCAAACCCTCAAACCCTCAAACCCTCAAACCCTCAAACCCTCAAACCCTCAAACCCTCCCTCAAACCCTCAAACCCTCAAACCCTCAAACCCTCAAACCCTCAAACCCTCAAACCCTCAAACCCTCAAACCCTCAAACCCTCAAACCCTCAAACCCTCAAACCCTCAAACCCTCAAACCCTCAAACCCTAATCCCTAAAACTTGAAAACCCTAAAACTATCCTAAAACCCTAAAACCCCAAATCCCTAAATCCCTAAAACCCTAGAACCCTAAAACCCTCACCCTGAGCCCTAGAACCCTAGAACCCTAGAACCCTAGAACCCTAGAACCCTAGAACCCTAGAACCCTAGAACCCTAGAACCCTAGAACCCTAGAACCCTAGAACCCTAGAACCCTAGAACCCTAGAACCCAAAAACCCTAAAACCCTAAAACCCTAAAACCCTAAAACCCTAAAACCCTAAAACCCTAAAACCCTAAAACCCTAAAACCCCTAAAACCCTAAAGCCCTAAAGCCCCAAAGCCTAAACCTTGAACCCTTGACAACCCTCAACCCAGTTAGAACCCCGCAATCGAGTTCCTCGCCCTGGTTCTTAGTAAGGAATGAGGGAAGTAGGGGCCTGTAGATACCCTTTCAGGGACTATACAGGGCCCTCATGCCCTTATCCCCTACGAAGCACCAGCCAGTCCTTTGGCCGAAGGTACCTACCCTGCGATTTCCATCGACGCGCGACACTTTGTCCGCAAGACAGGGTTTGAGTTTTGCGTTTAGGGTTTAGGGTTTGGGTTCAGGCTTTAGGCTGTAGGGTTGAGGGTTGAGGGTTGAGGGTTTAGGGTTTAGGGTTGAGGGTTGAGGGTTTAGGGTTTAGGGGACCAAAAGGAGGTCCTGAAGCATCGGAGGTGGTGATGGAGTTCGTTACTGGGCCCACCCCTTCCCGCCAAAACCCAAGCGCTATCCCCCAAGCCCTGACCCCAAAACCCTAACCCCTAAAACCCTAAGCCCTCACACCCTAAACACCCTAAGCCCTAAACCCAAAGCCCTGAGCCCAAAACCCGAAGCCCTAACACCCGAAGCCCTAAAACCATAAGCCCTTAGCCCTACTAGGTACCATGCGGAAAGGGTTTCAACATCGCATACTTTCGGTTCAGAGACGACGGCGTCTCTGTTCTGGACTGCGACCGAACCAAGAGGCTTGAGTTTGCAAACTTTTCTCAAGCGACACGCGGGCTGATTCAAAGTGCAGTTTGAAGTTGCAAGCTTCGATTCCATCAGCATGCTGGATGTTGAGCTTTTCCGTGGCGAAAGGTGGCGATGCTCTGGGGTACTGGATCGCAAGCTTTTTCGAAATGAGAGCTCGCTGTGGACTCCCTTACACCCTGCATCTTTTCATACCCCTGCCATTCACCTAGCTTGGCCAGGGCCCAGCTTCAAAGAATCCGCCGCAGGCACCGGAATGAAACCAGTGCTGCAAGGGATCAGATGGATTTTGCAATCGATGTTTGCAGCACACGGGTTCCTCTGTAGATCTTTTGCCAAGAACGCCCCGAAGTAATTTGCTGGTTTTGCAGTCGAGACTTGTCCTCCCATTCAGGGCGGAGTGGCAAGCGGTTTGGTTTTTGGGTCTTGCCAGGTCATGCTGGCAGGAGCTCGGAAACGAATGGGATTCAAATTCCCAACTTTTGCAGGTCCGCTGGCCCTTGTCGAACAGACACTTGCTCGATCTGCTCCGCTGACTCATGTCTGGTGGCGCTTGGGGAAGGTAGAGGAGGGTCTGTGTTGATTTTGTTCCTGAACGCACAGGGAGCTAAACAGCTCGAACAGCAAACGAGCTGACCTCATGTGATGAGTTTTGGGGGTTTTGCCTGGCTTTGCCGGGTTTTGCCAGGAGGCTTTGGAACACCCTGTCTGGCCTCCGTGGCCTTTTTGGTTGTGGTGCCTTTTGGGCCCGTGCCTGCAGGGTTTTAGGGTTTCACGGTTTTGGGGTTTTAGGCTTTTAGAGTATTTGGGTCTCCGGGGTCGCTTTCCCAAGCCCGAAGTCTTTGCATGAGTTAAACCCTGAGGATAGCAACCCCCCTCCCCCATGGCCTCTTAGCCCCAAACTCGACAATAAGCCCCAGACCTTAGACCCTAAACTTTAGGGTGGACTCTACCATCATTTACTATGGGATTTGCGCTACCCACCGTGGGCCCTCCGTTACAGCTCCGTTACAGCAACTGCTACAGTTCCGTTACAGCTCCGTTGCACCTCCGTTACAGCTTCCACTAGAGCTCCGTTACAACTCTGTTGCACCTCCGTTACAGCTTCCGTTACAGTTCCGTTACAGCTTCCGTTACAGCTCAGTTATACAGCTCCGTTACAGCTCCGATGCACCTCCGTTACAGCTCCGTTACAGCTCCGTTGCACCTCCGTTACAGCTCCGTTACAGCTTCCGTTACAGTTTCCGTGACAGCTCCGTTACAGCTCCATTACAGCTCCGATGCACCTCCGCTGCAGCTCCGTTACAGCTTCCGTTACAGCTCAGTTATACAGCTCCGTTACATCTCCGTAACAGCTCCGCCACAGCTCCCGTTACAGCTCAGTTGTACAGCTCCGTTACAGTTCCGTTACAGGTCCGTTATCAAGTTGCTGCTTCTGCTACGGCTCCGTTACAGCTTCCGTTACAGCATCGCTGCAGCCGGTAGCGCTCCGTTGCAGCCTTCCGATACGACTCCGTTACAGCTCCGCGACAAGTCCGTTACAGCTCCGCTCCTTTCCGTTACAGTTTCCGTTACAAGCCCCGTTACAAGCCCCGTTACCGGCGAGCATTTCTGTCATAGTAGAGGCCTGCAAATGATGGTAGAGCCCCGCCCCAACCCTAAACCCTAGACCCTTGCCCCCCCCAAAAAACAAAACGAGCAAAGGAACTTGGGCTACGCCTTCGTGAACTTCGTGAACGCTGAGGCCTGGAAAACCGAGTTTGGCGTTCAGGGTTTGGCTGAGAGGCCGGTAGGTCTGGGCTTCATAGTTGCGGTTCTTGGGATTGCAGTTGCGCAGAGCTTCCTTGGCTATGCAACCCTAAACCCTAAACCCTAAACCCTAAACCCTGAACCCTGAACCCTCAACCCTCAACCCTAAACCCTAAACCCTAAACCCTAAACCCTAAACCCTAAACCCTAAACCCTAAACCCTAAACGGCAGCCCGGAGCCCTAGGCCGCCAACCCCATATAAGCGTTGGGCTGTTCCCCCTTATACTAAGCAGTCCATAGTCGGGATTCGAGTACCCGCTATGATCACCCCTATGAAGGATCTGTTAGTATAAGGGGAAGCGGCAAAATACTTAAACCCTAAACCCTAAACCCTAAACCCTAAACCCTAAACCCTAAACCCTAAACCCTAAACCCTAAACCCCAAACCCTAAACCCTGAACCCTGAACCCTGAACCCTGAACCCTAAACCCTAAACCCTAAACCCTGAACCCTGAACCCTAAACCCTAAACCCTGAACCCTGAACCCTAAACCCTAAACCCTAAACCCTAAACCCTAAACCCTGAACCCTAAACCAATAAGGCCGCGGTGGCGGCGTGGCGCTGCTTCGATGGCTTCTCCGACTGGGCGCTGCCGAGCCAGAAGGCGAGGATGAGGGCTTTTAGGCGCCTCGTACACCTTTGCACCCTTGCACCCCAAACCCTAAACCCTAAACCCCAAAACCCTAAACCCCAAACCCTAAACCCCAAACCCTAAACCCTAAAGTTTCAGGAGGGATGAGGCAGTCTGAGGGCCTCACACACCCTAAGCCCCCCAAAAGCGCAGAGGAAAGCGCAGAGGTTGAAAGGCCAAGGGTTGCTCAGTCGTGATCACCATGTTAGGTTTTTGGGGGTTGAGGGTTTAGGGCACCCCCTACTATAATCCCTATTCAGGACTGTCAGTATAAGGGGGAACATTCCAAAGTATAACCCTTCTAATGGACACTCATCCCATGGTCCATACCTATTCAACGAGCCTTCTCTAAAGTCGGGGGTAAATCCTCAACGCTAGACCCTTTCTGTTGAGAGGGCCTTGCATGCAACACGGGTGGTCCCTTAGGCTTACATAGATTGAGGTAGCTAGACTTTGACCCTAAGCCCCAAACCCTCAACCCTGAACATAGGGTCATCTCAGTTGCTTAATATAGGGGCCGGAATAATTGCTAATAGTTTTCCCTTATGGTCCCTTTATAGACATACTATAATACCCCCCCCCCCCCCCAAAAAAAAAAAAACAGAAAAAAAAAAAACCTGTTCTAAGAACTAAGGCCCCCTATATTTCTGACAGGTCTGCGCGGTCAGTTGGAGTGGCCCACATCAAGGAGAGCGGCTGTTTTGCGAGTCTAGATGCCAGTGACCCCAAGCCGCCTTCGGCATCTTGCCTGTGCAGCATACCTTCCACCACCAACACCTTGCACTCCCCCCAGAAGCAAGCAAGCCTCCAAAGCTTCGTAACAGAAGCAGAAGAAAACCCTTGATACTTGGGCAGAGACCCCAAACCCCTAAACCCTCCCTAAGCCCCTAAGCCCCTAAGCCCCTAAGCCCCTAAGCCCCTAAGCCCCTAAGCCCCTAAGCCCCTAAGCCCCTGAGCCCCTAAGCCCCTAAGCCCCCTAAGCCCCTAAGCCCCTAAGCCCCTAAGCCCCTAAGCCCCTAAACCCCTAAACCCCTAAACCCCCAAATCCCTAAACCCCTAAACCCCTAAACCCCTAATCCCCCAAACCGCAAAACGTGAAAGCTGCCTAAGCCCCAGCTCGCGCCGATCGCCTTACATTCTGGGCTGGGTTGTTCAGTAGCTTGGAGAAAGCTACCCTCATGATGAAGTCCAGATTCTTCACTAAACACATCTCATTACCCCCACAAGCCCT